TTAAAGCATTGCGATTATCCATTTCTCTTTGATCTTCTCGCATTGGACTCTATCAGATCCTCTTCACGTTTATTTTCACCGAAACTATAAAAATTGTTTGGAACGGGACATTGCAGTAAAAGGAAATATCAACTCTGTTTTCAAGAATGCCTCCCTTTTGCAGATAACTTCTCACTTTTGGAAGCTCTGTTGTAATTCAGGGAAATCTCGGAATTCAAGAAGATAAGAAACATCGAGTAAAATATCAGGCATTAGGTGATTCAGAAAAAAAGCTTCAATTTTACGCAGCTCGACAAATAGCATGTCGCTTGCTTGGAAGCAGAGGTTATCTTTGTCAGAAGGTTTAAATGTAGCGGTGGTTAGAACATGATATTGATGAGTGATGATGCATCAAGCGTCATCCTTCTCTTCTTTAAAATTTCACTTACTGGATATTTTATTAATTGACACAGTGCTGGCTTCCTATGGAGGATTGTATGTGTTCTAAAGTCACATCTCGTTCTCTGGGGCCTGGAGTAAGATTTTGGTTGTATATGCATCCAAAGGTTTAGCTATACCTGGTCATTTTCTTACAGTTCTCTTTTTATGTTTTGTCATTTTACTTATATTTACGTTTTTGTTGTCATTTGCAGGATTTCCTACGACAAAACAACACTGGAAAGATATTGTGGCAAGTCTTTGGTGTTGAAGCAGCAACTTTATGCCTTTTTGGTATCCCTGAACATGAAGAAATCATGTGGGACTCATTTAAATTGGCAGGTCTCTCAATTTAAAGTAATCAACATTGCTTATGGTAGCTGTTTTATGATATAGTCAAATGATACGTTGAACTAATATTTTACTCGTACACAATTTCGTGTCTAATATCTCTTGTGGTAGTCTTTCCAAAGTTGGTTATTATATTCATTTGGATACAAGTAGGCGATTATTTTGTTGTTCTGCCTTGTCATGTTGGGTCAACATGTTCTGTGTTTTATAGCATCCAAATCTGGTGATTTATGTTAAATTGCTTTGGCGCTAACTTTGTTATAAATTCAGGAAAAGGCAATGTTTGGTGCCTCTATCCCAACAAGAGTGCAGTAGTAAAATCAGTTCAGGGTGCATTTGGTCAGGAACTAATTGGAAATTATGGAATCACACTAGCAAAGGTTATATTTTTTTTTTGCCCTAATATTATGCTCCTTACTGTACCTTCTTCTGTTAACCTGCAAGCTAGAGCGTTGATTATCTCTGACGTTGAGGGGTGTGTTGGAATGCAGCATGAAGCAGTTTAATCTATTTCAACCTGGTCAAATTCATTTTTGTATTTGATATATTGAATGTCAAGTCGTCAACCCACCTTTTGTAATTCCGTTTAGCCTACCAGGTTGAATATCATTTTAGTATCACGTTCTTGCAAATGAGAAAATATAAATTTTGATCTCTCTCATTGCTTGAAACTCCTCCTAGCATCCTAGCTGCACCCTCCTTATCAGATTTTATGCTAAAATATAAAAATTACCTTTGGATTGTACTTGGATCTACCACTAGAAGATTTTCTAGAAAGACGTGAAGAATTTAAAGAATATTCATAATTTAAGAATAGCGTTACACTGCCTGAAGGCCTGAAAAAACTAAAAGTCCAAATAAGGTGGATGACTGGCATTACAGTGACAACTGAGTTGGATGGTTATTTGAAGGGAATACATTACAGTTGCATAGGATTGTAAGAATTCAAAATCGATTTCTAGTTAATGGGAACGACAATTCTTCTTGTTGCTGATAATATAGTGCATGTACCTAATGAATTTATTTTTGCGTTAAAACAGACAAAAGAAGATAAGACTCTGAATTTTATTTTAATTGATGGCACATGGAGCAATTCAGCAGCAATGTTCAGGCGTCTTCAGGTAAATTTTGCAATAATTTTGTTTTGTTTACAAGGTTTTCATGATTGAATCCTCGTTGAATAGGATCATTATCTTTCTCCTCTTTGTTAGGTGCTAAGATATCATAAAATCCCATTCTACTGCAGGTTCTAATATTTTTAAATGACTAGTGAAACAGAATAACCATGTCTTTTATGCTATCCATGCACAACAATATCCTATGGGAAGGAACATTTCAAACATGTATTGAATCCAAGATTATTCTTACAGACTGCATTCTAGACCATGCCTGTTAAAATCTGGCTTGGATTGTACATTTTGCTTATCACATGTTACTTTTGTTTTGTTCAAGTTGATCTTGGCAAAATTCGCTCAGGAAGCTTTCTTACTTTCCTGACTGTTGTCTTCGTGGGCTCATTTAAAGTTCATATATGAGTTGTCGATTGTTAAGAAAGCGAAAGAAAATTTAACAAGAGTTCAACTATTGGTTATGGAGTTGAATAGAGAAGCTACCTTAGACCTCTAGTTATAATCTGTTAATTATGCTTTTGAGGAGAAAAGTGAGCATTTATGCCTGACAATTTTTTAAAGCCAGTACATTAAAAATATCACCTTATAGATGATTCTGTGTAATACTTGATCTTATTTGGGTCATGCATCTTTAGGATGAGAGTGCCCATGTGTTATGTGACATTTAAAACATAACCCTAAATTTCTCTGAAGTTTTGAGTTTCTTCGATTTCAATGAAACTGATGCCGCCTGCTGAGAAATCTCTCTGGGATGTAGACACGTTGGGGAGTGTAATATTCTTTAGGAACTGTGGAAAGGATGGAGTGTAGTATTCACACTCTGTTGATGACACCTCCATGGGAGCTGGCCGTGTAATAGATGTGCTATTTGAATGAATTTGTTCAAGTTGGAACACTTTTTACCAAATAGAGCTCTTTTGATGCTGAAACTTAAGTGTTGTGAAATTTTATTCTCATCAGGACCAAGCAAACTCTATATGGGGAGATGAAGACCTTCCTTGTATATCATTGACTCCGGGTGCTTCTGCCATGCATAAACTTAGGTGAGAAAGTGAAAATACTTGTACCCTTGCTGTGTGAACTCTTGGCATCTTCTTCTTCCCTGTGTTGCTCTCCTATCGTGGTTATAATCTCTTTACTTTGTGATCCATGACCATTTACGGTATTGCTACTCAATTTCAGGCCCCAACCATCCTGGGACCGTACCTGCACAGCAGCGGCCGCTGCTGGCCTTCTCTCTGAGCTTCAACTTCTTCCACAGTTTAGCTCTATTGGATTGGATAAGCAAGCTGAAGCAGTGGAAGATACTTTAACAGTCCTATTAGAAGCCCTCACAACACGACGCCTTCGCATGGGCAGGTCCATAACCCGGAAAGTAAGACATACCAGCAACATTAGATAAAAGATCTAACCAAGTTTCCTCTACCAACTTGGGCAGCATGCCCTCTTGCAATTTTGGATATGAGTAAATTGTTAACCATGTACATGTAGATGTAGGAACAAGTGAGGGACATGTTGGAAGTGGTGGCTAATGTTATGTATGACAGGAACCTTAAAAAGTTTTCCATATCTAAATCTGATGTTGGTTTTAAAGCCTTCGATTTCAGTTCACAGAACCTCCTCCTAAATCTTCCTTACTTTTGCCATTTCCGTATAGAACTATATTACGGGGATGTGATATTAATCGTGACCTGCAAAAATCACTTTCAGCGTGGATCCGCTTCAATTTTTGCAGCGTTCTGCCTCATCTGCTTCGGTTGCATGGGAAATACAAGTTTAATAAAGCTTTTCAGGATCCGGATGCTTTGGATTACAAGTGAAGCTTCAATCGTAGCTTTTTACGAGATACTGAATGATGGGATTGTGTGCGTGTACCGAATACCCAAGAGTTCATAATGCGGGTTACTATAATTAGCTACTCATAAAAGAAAACTAAAATTGATCCCCAGTTATCTTTTCTAAATTTTCATGTCGATAATTTTTGAGAAACTTGAATATATACTTTTAGTGATATAAATTGTAACAATTATAAATTGTGCAATTCGTATGTTGATATATTAATGAGGTACAAAGTGTGCGGATGACTAATAATAAGTATTTATAATCTTCTGGTAAAAAAGGTATTTTATAATCTTAATATAATCTAAAGCTAAGATGCGCCCAGCACCCTGAACTATTTACCCAGGTGCATTCAGTGGCCTAAAGTAATTTTAGGTGCATCTAATGTCCTAAACTAATTAAAATAGTGCGTCCATATCCCAAGCTAACAGAAATGTTATGTTTAACTGTTACTTTCCTAACTCAGCTTAAAGTTGACCCCAAATATTCTAAATGGTAGACATATGGACATTTGATATTATTATTCTTACTCAAAATTGAATTTATTTCCTTCCTCTTCTTCTAAATAAATTGTCTTTTGAGTAAGAATAATACACATCGGGTGCCCATGTGTCTATCATGTAGAATATCTGGGGTCAACTTTAAATTGAGTCAGGAAAGTAACAGTTAAACATAACATTTCTGTTAGCCTGGGATATGGACGCACCATTTTAATTAGTTTAGGACACTGGATGCATCCAAAATTACTTTAGGCCACTGGACACACCTGGGTAAATAGTTCGGGGTGTTGGGCGCACCTTAACCCTATAATCTATTCTGGAGCCATTGAAAGATGATCGATTAGAATCAATTAAGCGGGATAATTCCATGAAAACGTAAAATTTGACTGACCTAACGTACGAACCATATTTTGTTTGAAGAGAACTGTATATAAAAGAAGTCGTTTGATTTGAAAAAAAAAAAAACTAAAATTTGACTAATAACCACCAAATGCCAATATTAAGAGTCGAGGAGAGCCATTCAAGTTTTTGGCAAAAATGCTCTCTCTTTGATTCTTACCATCGCAATTCCTCCATCGTCTCCCTCTTCGTCTTCCTCCAAATCCACACAAAAGCCATTTTCTGATTCCATTGAACCTTAAACCAAAGCGGAGGGGAGAGTGACCCGACTATCCCATTGTGGATTTCGGCCCCACCCACCTCCATTTCACTCTCCTCTTTAACCCTTATCGACCATATTTGCAGCTAACGAACCAAACAGAAAATGGGTTCCAATGCCGGATTCTCTGTCATTCTCTTTTCCTTTCTTTTCATGACCTTAGCTTCTGCTGCTCCATTTATTTCGGGTAACTCCATTTTCTATTGCTTTTCTTGAAGCTGCCACCTTTTTCAGTTATGGATCGATCATTTTTGTTTTGGCAATGTTTATGTTTACAGAGAATATATTTGAGCCCAGGGCATCTACAGCTCGTTCCCTTCTTCAGGCTACGAAAGGTAATTCCTTTTCATTTATGTTTTTAGGGGTTCTGTTTCCCTTTACATGTAGACAATCAAATTTAGTAACGTATCTTGAACGTTCACATTTTTTAATGTATCTTGTTCTTGCCGAAAGGAAATCAATTTGAGCATTTTAGTTCTTTGTGAAGGAATAATAAAAGAATACGTAATCGAAGAGTTTTTAACGTGATTTCTTGCAGGAAGCAGCATACTGTGATGCCAATTTTGCACGAAAAACATTCCCCTCTTTTTCTCTTTAGTCAAGCTCGTGTTGGTTGATTTCTGCTTGAACAGTTTCTGCATAATATGAAGCATAGAGGTTGAAATCCATTGTTTAAAGAAAGAACTAGGACAATCTGAATAACAGAACATTTGCGACAAAAATAACATGCAATGTGTGGTTTTACGCATTGTTACATGTTCAAATCTATCATATCAATCAATCTATCATATCAATTTTAAGACAAGATTAGAAATATTTTTTCAAACCCTATCAGTCCAAACGGGTATATTAGTTTAGGTGTGCCCAGTCCACAAAGAATCTTTCCTCCTGAATTTGTAAAAGTCAGCGTAATCTCTTCTGGAGACTACTGCAATACCAAGCACAAAAGGACAATACATAGTTTCAAGTTTACTTGCAAGTCAAGCAATCAAATTGGACGACCTCTGGCACTTCTTTTGCAGCACTTTCCGACTAATGAGCTATCTCCCATGGTTTTGCAGCTTGTAGCGTGGACTTCGAGAACCAGAACTACACAATCCTTACAAGTCAATGCAAGGGGCCTATGTATCCATCCACTGTTTGCTGCAGGGCTTTCAAGCAATTTGCATGCCCTTTCGCAGATCAGATAGTCGACATGACGACTGATTGTGCTACAGTGATGTTCAGTTACATAAACGTCTATGGAAAATACCCTCCTGGCCTCTTTTCTAACGAGTGCAAAGAAGGAAATCACGGTCTTGATTGTGATTCAGTTGATGCAGCCAGTCCTGCACCTTCTAGCGATGGCGGTAACTTAGTTGGTCCTAAGCACTCTCTGCTGCTTATGGTTGCTTCTTGTTTCATTGCCTTGTTCTCCCTCTTCCATTTGGTCTGAATATGAGTGTCTAAAATGCGAAAAATGGACCCCGGACTAATACTAATTGGTGTCATTTTTTCTTATGGAAGTCTCATTGCAAAAGCATGTTTGTTTGTTGCTGGAATTGCTTTTCTAATCAAGATTGCATGAAAAAGTATATTAATATAGCTTATAATTTGTTGGATTGATTCTTGGAGAAATGTTAAGGTTAATAGATATCTAAATTTACTAGACATATTACTTAGTAAATTTGATGTACTTGAGATGTTCATCTAGAGGAAAGATAGTTGTGTATAGAGAATTAAACCACAAAGTTGACTGGGTCGTCATCATATTCTAAGATTCTCACTTCAAAAATTTACGTTACAGAAGGGCTTAGAAACGTATATTTGAAGCTCTATGCTAATCACAATCTCTGGTTTCGGGTTTGTCAATGGCTGATCTTGCATATACGACTCAAAGAAAGCAAATTGAATGACATTTTGGTGAATTTTTCTCGTTACCGTCATGTTTATCTACTACTCGTTTGACCCAAACACCCTAAATTTTTCGCCCAAAAGATAAGTATGGAATCACCGACTTGTTCAGCAAAATAGATATATTAATAACTCAAAATGCATTCATTGTTAATTATAAACTGTTAATAAGTTGAAGCATTCAAATTTAAAAATTTGAGGCAAAATCGTTGATCCTTATCACTCGTCAACTAGAAAATGAACTTGTGAAATATTATTGAAACCTGCACTGTACTGTTATTTCATTTTAAAAAAATTGGCTAATGGAGGAAAAGTACTAGACCACCTACGCCGTGATCATGTTGCCTACAAGTTCTGTTTTGTCCCAAAAAAATAAAACCAAAATTTGGTTATATAAAAAGAAGCTTCACATGGCTTTGTCCAAAAACTTGGAACAACTTGTATGCTGCATGCTAAAAGGAAGATTCACGTGCCGTGACATAGACAAAACAACCCCATCTAAGAAATAGGAGACGACAATGCTGCCTATGTTCATGTCAAGACTCAAACTTTAGAGTCTATGAATAGTGGGGTTGCAAGAAAGTTCACACATTTGATTGATTAAAATGGCAAAAAACAAGCTTGTGTGGAAGAAAAGGAACAGAAAATAGAAAGGGAATAGAGGTGAATATGGGAAAGACAGAGTAAAAGTTGAAGAAAGCGTGGAAAACTCGGAAAGATGCATCAACAGGCGTGATGGATGGATAGGGGTGTGGAACATGCTGCCATTTCTGTTTATTGTCATTCCCAATTCAATCCAATCAAAGACGATGCAAGTGGACAATTCGCACTTTGAAAGGTGCATAAATGAGAAACTATCTAAACCACACAAAGAGACAGAGGGAAAGTGAAGTTGGACCCCCCCCCCCCCAACAAAATCAACGGCCGAAAGCTCTAAACATTATTCAGTCTTACTCGGGGATTCATTGGAATGGCTTCACCCGATTTTAGAAAATGTCTCGCCCCCCCCCCCTTCATAGGACATTATATAAAACATGATTCAATAAAATATAGCAGTATGCTATTATTTTTTGCCTATAAGATGTTCGGGGTAATTCTCCAAGTTTTTCTTATTCCTTGTGCAATATTCAAGGTCTTGACCTTGTTCAAAGAGTATCAACTCAGTTTAACTGGTTGTCTCAAAATATATTTTAATAAATCATGCTCCCGCCAATCTTAAATATAAAACATAGTTAAGATAGTAGAAAATTTGTGAGATTGTTTTAAAAATACTCTCATTATTTAATAACTAGAATTTATTGCGTAGACATGAAAGATGTTCTAACCAAAAAGGATATCATCTGAAAAAAATAATTAAGATCAAACCAAAAATTGTTCAGTATATTACTAATTTAATTTCCAATTCCTAGGCGTGACGAAATTGATGACAAAACAACATGTGTTGCACAGAAAAACAGAGAACAATAACCTTAAAGCCCGGGAACTGCTTGGTCATATATGAATCTGGTGTTCAGATTCCTTTCCTGCGTCCTCCTCACGAAAAAGCATTGCATAATCGCCAAGTTTATTCATTTGCAAGTGGCTTCTTCTTTTTTTTGAGCAAAGCAAGTGGCTTCTTCTATAATTGCCTATTCCCCACGCTATCCTCCATTTCCCACTCCCAGTTCTTTTTTTAATTACTAGACTAACGTGGTCCACTTGTATTTCTCCCTACTTCAAAATGACCCACACAAATTTCGTATATATTCTCTCAGAAATCAGAATCAGACGCCCAAGCCCCACCATTAATCTAGAAGAATGCGAGAGGGAGAGGCATCACACCGAATATTCCTTCAACCCCCAACAGAATATACCGTCAGATGAAGACTCCCTCTAATTGACCTGCGACCTTAATATTACCCAAGCAAAACAACAACGTTTCTCCATCATTCGTTTTCCCTGGTCAAAAACAATTAACTGTGAAAACTTATATAAATTACATAATATACGTCAATATTCGTTATTCCATTTGTCAAACAAATCAAGAGCTGCGTGTATTGCAGCCTGCCAGTCGCAATCAACAACTTCTGGTTAAGCGTTGGCTTCCTACCCACACTCATCTAATCTCACCTCTGAATTGGAGTGCAAGGCAAAAGAATCGCTTTCCTCAATAGTTTTTTTTTTTTTTTTGCCCCCCTGAAAGACTGGCTCTTGAAATTTTTTTACCAGATGAAGGCAAAACGGAGAGGAGAAAACCTATGATTTGGAGTAAGTAAAAATTTCATTTCATATCTGAAACAAGGAGTCACAAGTTTGTCAGAAGAGTGCCACACAATAACCCGTCATGATACAAATTCTCTCTTTCACTAGTTCCTAGTAATAATCCCAAGGGAAGAATACAAGTAAAAGGCTGAAATCTTTCCCCAATATAAATTTCCCAGGCGCCCCAAGACCACAGAAGATGAAGTGCGAGGAGGAGGTCGACGAAAAGAAAATCAAGAACAAGCCTTGCCGCGAAACAAAGCTTTATTTATCTGTGGGCAGTGACCAATGTCTCGATGAATCGCAAACCGTCAAATCTCGGCGCAAATTTGTCCGCGGAAGACGAACTGGCCGATGATGAGTTCTCTTGGTTCCTCTGAACCGGCGCATCCTACAACAAGAAAAAAAATCCCGAATCAATCAGAAGATTCTTGACAGATATATCAGATCCCAGTGTTCTAGACCTCAATTTCAACCAAAACAGAGTGAGATTTTAGAAAGAAATTTCAAATTCTCGGTAATGATCTAACCTAGGGTGAATCCATACCTGATGCAGAGTCTTCAGAGACGAGGACGAAGAAGGCGATGAAACAGAGACTGCTGTGGCCGAAGCAGCTGCCATGTAGGCTGCAACGAGTCCGGATTTCTTCATCTTTGGTCTCTGTGAGAGGGATGGAGGGCTGCGATTAAAGCAGTTAGGAGTGAATGCAGCCTTATTTTCTGATTTTCTCCTGCAAGAAACGGGAGAAAGAGAGAGAAAATCTTGGAGAAAGCGCTGGAAAGTTTTCAGGCTCGACGGCATATATATAACGGGAGGGGCCTTCGATTTGTTGCTAAGGTGGTTAACATATTAAATTATCAAATAATTACGCGGCAACTATCCTTCGTTTTCCAACCAAATTACGACTTTGCCCTTCGCGGAATTTTCCCTTTTTTTGAGTTGACAAAACTACCTTTCCAACTTCTCATCCTCGTCCAATTCCTTTGCATTGGACTTTTCCCCCACCCCCCCCCCTCAATTAAGTCACTGGCCAGTAATGGCATGAGATAATGGACGAAATCGGATTCACAGCTTTTTACTCATTAAAAAAATTCACGTCGCCTGCTTCAAAGATTATTTAGCATGAATTTGATTGCAACAATTTAAAGAAATAATTATTATTATGTGACTTTTATTCTCATTAGATTATGGCTAAAATGATTATTTATGATAATGTTCTGTCGGATTTATTTGTTTTTATCAATCAGATATTTTTTTAAAAAAAAAAAAATCAATCCTCTAAATGTTTAAGGGAGAATTATAATAAGGTCACAAGCAAAGAAAGTAATTAAAAAAAAAGTCCTAAAAGTTGTTATTCTCATTATAAAACTTGTTATTATAGACTGTTAAAGTTGTTATTGGAACTTTTTAATAATTATTTTTTTTCTGTAAGATTTTATTGGAATTCCCCTAATTTTTAAACTCATCCGCGTTGATCAGTGAGGTAGAAGCGTTGGAGTGACTTGTGTCAATCCACCGAGGCGCGCTAAAATTGTTAAGTTTGTTAGATTTGTTTGTAGGCAGATCTTGTTAAATTTGCTAATAAGCCAATCCTCAAAATTCTATTCTTTTTACGATAAGTTATTTGTAGGAAGAAGTTTTGGTTTTAAATATAAGTTATTTGTATCTATTTAATATTTGCTTTTCAAGTTTATCTTTATTTAATTCTTATTAAAAAGAGGAAAAAAATAGAAAGATATGAAAATGATTTGCACATAAAGAGAGAACTTTAAAAATAATAAAAATAAAAAAATTTGTCAATTTAATGTATATTTTGATATATGAAAATGCATTACAAGTGATTTACATTAAGGTCAAAGATAATATTAAATTAATTGTTCAAAGTCCTAGGAATTATGAAAAGAAGTTAATCAACTGGCAAAACTGTAATGCCCTTGATGAGAAAGAATAATTATGACTAATTTATCCTTGTAAATATATATAGCCTCATATTCAGTTCACATGATGAGACTGGTGAATTGTATTACGTTCGTTCACCACAACGTTCATGACAATAAGAAAAGGTAGTTAACTAACTAACTAATTAATTAATACCAAAGAGGATAAACAAGAGTAAAATTAGCATGTAAAATAGTTGTGCTTTCCTTTCTGTTTCCTCTCAATCCATTTATTTTAATTGCTGAGGGGTTGTATTTGTATTTGAGAAAGTCCCAACGAATTTGAAATCTCTCGCAATCCTTTCTCCTCCTTTATTTCTTAAAATATCTCTGTCATTTAAAATGTCTCTATCATTATTAGATCATCGACTTTCGTTCTTTGTATTTGCAAAAAATAACAAGGATATTTAAAAAAAAAACATGACGTGTTAAATAAAAATTATCATAACTATTGGGCTTGGGATTCGGATGGGTTGAACTATTTGATTAGAAAATTAGCCAAGATCGCAATCAAATAAAATAATCAAGTAAGATTATGTTTTGATTGACTAAACCAATTAATTAAAATAATCATCCAATTAAATATAATATAAATTAAATGAATAATTTAATTTATACTATCCAAATGATATGTATTAAATGAATAAATATATACATATATGTGTGTGTTTTATAATATCTATGGACTAAATCAAAATTCAATCCAAGATAAATTGACATGATAAAAACTAAATTATAATTTCACCCATTGAGATAAACGATTATTAAGAATATATATGTAAACTGATATTATTTTGTGAATACATTGTCTCTTCAAGGTGTCCTTGCCCAGTATTATAAATGGGGACTTTAATTCATTAGCTCAACTCACCCAGTTATAATCTGCTTTGTCTATCTTTATAGCTTAGGCTCTATTAATCTAGTTCTAGTGTGAGCACCAACATCAAAATCCTGTAGTTGGAGATACCTCTCTCTAATAGATTCAATTTGAGATTTCAACGGTTGCGTTTTCTCTCTCTATTATTTGGTGTTTAAATTTAGACAATATCACAATCCTGTAATTGCATGCTTTTCATAAATCTATTAGTTACTTACTTCTATATTTGATATGAGAGAATCGGAGAGAAAAAGAGGAAAAGAAAAATTTTAATAAACTAAATTTAAAAAATTTAAATAGTGGAGTTGAAAATTTTTAATTAAATTTTCTTACTCTTTTATCTTATATATTCTCTTTATCAAATTTTGTATAATTCTATTTTTCTAATTTTTTTAAATTTAACCCATTAAAATTTGTTCCTCTCATATTCATTGTTCTATTTTTCTCATACCAAATAGACACTTAGAGATATGGACCGGGATTTGGATTGTTGATTGATTATTAGCCATCTGGCCAAGAAAATTAATTATTGGCAATAATTCAAAATTAAGTTTAATTTCTCTGCATCTTCCTCTGGATAAAAAGTGTGTTAGATACCCTGAAAAGTGCTCCTCAAAAAAAAATTTCGCAAATCGAGATAAATTTTTCTATATATTTATCTCGTAGATGTAAAATTACTTTAAAACTATGATTTGGTTTCTATCTAAACACTCCAAAATCTTCCTATCACATTTACTCAGCGTCCTTCGCGACACGTAAAATGATGATCCTGAGAAAAATAAAGGGTATATGTGTAAAACAGGGGGTTTTTTCTAGAACCGTTGGTAGCTTCTAGGAGGGTAATGTGGTAATAGCACTACATTAAGTTTGAGGCCATGCGCCGCTCGTCGGCGTTGATTTTTTCGGAGAATCCCTGGCGCGAAAGGCTCTGTTTTAAGGTCTATCCAATCAGAAGACGACACGTGGGTGGCAGTGAAGAAACCCACGAAGCAACACCTTTTGTCACAAACCAGCATCTCCACGGAAAGCAAGCTCTCGACGATTTCACCATATTACCCTCCGTCAATTTCCCATAATTACCTTCCACGCCCATGGCCAAACCACAAGAAAAAAAGCCAACTAAGTTTTTAGTTAATCATGTGATCATTCTAACCGTCGTCCTATTTTAAATTAATTAAGTGCAAACTAAAAAATTAATTGAAAATGCCATTCAGTCCAGTTGTCGTTTGGGCACTTCGCCCCTTAACTACTTATAATTAACCTATGATTATGGTTCCAATTAATAATGTTTGTCACCAGCTCATACACTTCACACATACTTCTATTTTATGGCAATATTAATTAATTATTATAAACATTATTCCAGTCGGCAAAAAAAATTTATAAACATTATCCAGTTTGTATATTTATTATCATTTCCTGATATATTTTGAAGGAGGGGACCATATAAAATAAAATCTTTGTAGGTTGATATGATAGAGTCATACCTAAATAGATACATATATGCATGTGCATTTTAAGTTTTATTATTTTTTTAAATTAGAGAGTCAGACGCTTAGAGCCTGATATTGGGATTAAGTCCGCGACCTTCTAATCATAGAGAAATTTGCATTTGACTGTTTTACGAGATAATTGAGTAATTTTTGATAAACTTTATACGTACTGTCCATTCCATAATTGATATGCCATTTATTCGCATTTGGCGGCAGGGAAAGGATGCCTCAAAGTTAAAGTCTTTATAACTTTTATAAAAGTGCTACTCCCTCCCATCGGTAATACATATCAGCAGTTAATTTTTTTCCACATACTAATAAATAAAAATTTAGTTATTAAATTTATCATAAAATGATATAGTTTTCATATTTTATCTCTAAAAAATATAAACTTGCATTTAATGTTATGTTTTTATTATCTATTATCTATTTCCTATATTTAATAGATGTGAAAGTGAAAAAAATAATATTAATTATCCTGACAACTTATCACAATTTTTACTATTATTAAGTCAGTTAATTAAAAAAAGTAAATGATATTTAAATGGAAACCAAACTATAATTTTAAAAATAATTTTATAATGTACAAAATAAATATATAAAAAAATTTGTCTTTATTTATGAAAAAATACTTTTTAAAAATATTTTTAAGTATTTCCAAAGACGATTGAGTGCGAGATTTAATAGAATTTGAAATGATTCCCTGTAAATCCGCAGTCTACTATTAATGAGTGCTTTTGAAATGTATGGGAAATGAGTCGGCCATTACCAGACAAACTTTAATTGGTCATCCTAATAGTATTACATACGTGGGGAGGTGAAGTCAGGGACTAGGAGGGAATGAAGAATGGGGTGAGAACAAAGGAATTTGAGAAGGGTAGTTTTGTAAAGCTGGGGCTGTACTGTGCTTGCTCCGTTGCTCGTGTCATGAAGCACAGACCAGCTTTTCCTGCCAAGGCCGTTCCTGTTTCTGACGTACATGCTCTAACTTTCATCTGGATGCTTGCCACGTGTCCTTCCTCACTGCTTTTCTCCACCACAAGTTTTCCGTCCTTTCCCCCGTCAGACTGCCACGCCACATGCTCCTCATTCCTTTTTTTTTTTTTTTGAATTGACATGCTCCTCTGTCCCGACTCGTTAGATTTTTCATAAATACGGTGGCTCTTATCACATATATGTAATTGTTTCAATTGTGTGATTTTATTTAACTTTAAAAAAATTAGAGTGTGAAGCTGCATATTTTTTTTAATATTCTTCTATTTATAAATCAATTTAATATTTTTCACAGAAACAAAAAAATTTTAAATTTTATTAACTCTCATTTAAAATTTAATAATTTTTTAGTTTTATCTCTATTTAATATACATTATACTTCATGTAATCAAAGTCAATATAATAATAAATGAAGGGTACAATTGCACATCCACATAAAAAATTTCTCTTAATACTCTATAAATAGGATTAAA